GCTGCTGCAGCAGCAAACTAGGCAAGAGAAAGCAGCAAGGGGGACAGATCCTGGCTCGTTTGGCTGCTGCATGCGTCGCTGAGCAGCAGCTCGTTGCTGCCAGCAGGCGCAGCAGCAAGGCCTTCCATATGCTGCTGCTGCTGCTGCTGTGGGTGCTGCAGCAGCAGCAAGGGTTCGCTGCTGCTACGGCTTGAAATGCCGCAGCTGCTGCCTTCTAGGTCAAAAGCCGCCCGCTGCTGCTGCTGCAGCTGTTCAAGTTGCTGCTGCTGCTGTTCTTCTGGTTGGTGCTGCTGCGCTACTTGTTGCTGTTGCTGCTGTTCTTGCTGCTGCTGCTGTTCTTGCTGCAGCGGTTGCTGCTGTTCTTCCTGCTGCTGCTGCTGTTCTTGCTCCTGCGGCTGCTCTTCTCCCTGCTGTGGCTTTTCTTTGTGCTGTAGCTCCTTTTGCTGCGGCAGTTGCTCCTCTTGCTCCTTGTGTTGCTGCTGCTGCTGCTGCTTCTGCTGCTGCTGCTGATGCTGTAGCTGCTGCTGCAGCTTACCCTTGCATGCATTCCGTGCCTCTTCACGTGCTGCGCAGCTATTATTCGTTTTGCTGCTTGCCCTTAAGCTGCACTTTTTCTTGCTGCTGCTGCTGCTGCTGCTGCTGTGATTATTTAGTGCTGGTGCTGCCTTCGTCTGTGCTGCTGCTGCTGCTGCTGCTGCATGCGGCCTTCGCTGCTGCTGCTGCGATCGCTTTGCTGATGCGGCGCTGGCCAGCAGCAGCTGCTCCTGCTGCAGCACCTGCTGCTGCAGCTGCTGCTGCAGCTGCTCCTGCAGCTGCTCCAGCACCGGCAGCTCGCTGCTGCTGAGGCCTACTTCCACAGCTAGGGCAAACACCTGCTCCTCAAGAGGCAGCAGTGCTGCTGCTGCTGCTGCTGCTGCTTCGGGTGCTGCGTCTTCTGCTGCTGCATCTGTTGCTTCTTCTGCAGCTGCTTCTGTTATAGCTGCTTCTGCTGCCTCCGCTGCGCTTGCAGCTGAGGCTGTTGCTGCTGCTGCTGCTGCTGCTGCATCCAGTGAAGGATCTGCTCCAGCTGCTGCGTGCTGCTGCTGCTGCTCCTGCGTCTCCTGCTGAGGTGTACGTACACCAGAAGCGACCCCACAAGCAGCAGCAACTGCTGCTGTCAGAGCAGCAGCAGCAGCAGAATGTCGAGAGAGAGCAGCAGTTGAAGCTTTCAGCAGCTGCAGCAAAGCAGCAGCAAACAAGCAAGCCATTTTTAATCATGAATGTGATATAAGAAACAAATAAATAACAAAGTAATTAATTAATTAATTAATTTATTTATTTATTATTATGATAGGATTGATTAGTTAATTAACTGATTAATTAATTAATACTTTAATAAACTGCGAAAGGAAGATGCAGCCAGTGCAAACCCTAAACCCCAAACCCTAAACCCTAAACCCTCAACAGTAGCCTCTCATGCAGATCACTACGATGAAAGCATTAGACGAGCAGGGTTTAGGGTTTAGGGTTTAGCGTTTTGAGGGGCTAGGCCAGGGTTCAAAGACCTAAACAACACACCCACGCAGGCTTAGGGTTTAGGGTTTAGGGTTTAGGGTTTGTTGCCTGTTTTTGCGACTGCAGATTTTGCTTGAGTGTTTCTCGTCTCGAAACTGTCGAGGGAGTTGAGCTGCAAAAAATGAAAAGAAAAAAATAAAAATAAATTTAAATAAGTAAATAAATAAATAAATAAATAAATAAATAAATATTTAAGTAAATAAATAAATAAATAAATAAGTTCAAAGACAAGTGCAATGGGGAAAATAATAAATGAAAATGAAAAAAAAAGAAAAGTGAAAGAAGTCTTACTTTTGCTGCTGGGGTGTATGTACAGCTCGGAGGAAAGTGGCGAGCGCCAAATCTTTTTTAATTTCATTTACTTTATTTTGAATTAATTCATTTGTTTCATTTGTTGCTTGAAGAGCAGCAGCCTGCGTTTGCTGCTGCTGCTGCAGCCGCTGCTTCTGCTGCTGCAGCTGCTGCAGCAGCAGCAGCTGCTGCTGCTGCTGCCGCCGCCGCCGCTGCAGCACTGCTGCTGCTGCTTCTGCTGCCAAGGCGAACTGCAGCAGCAAATTGCCCTCCGGCGAATTCAGCATTAAACGAAAACTGTTTTAAATGAAATAAAAGAAGCGACTCAAGAAAAGGAAAAGATAAAAGAAAAGAATAAAATTAAAGAAACAAATAAACGAAAAGACAAAAAGAAAAACAAAAGCGCTGCAGCAAAGGCAAATTGCAGCAAATAACCCGAAGACAAACCAGCACCAGCAGCAGCAGCAGCAACAGCAGCAAGGGGTCTGCGGCCTCCCGGCGGTGGAAACAAAGAAATAAAGGAAGAAATGAAAAGCAATTTAAAAATTGATTTTTAATTTCATAATTTATGAAAACAAATGAACTATTTAGCGATGAACTGCAGCAAATGCGCGAAACAGAGTCACTGCTGCAGCTGCCCACCAACCGCAACACAGCAGCAGCAGCAGCAGCAGCAAGAGCCAGGGAAAGACAACTGGTAGCAGCGATAAATAAATAAATAATAAATCAATTTAATTTAAAAATAATAAAATGAATAAATCAAATAAATGAAATGAATGAAAGCTGCAGCAGCTTCTCCGTCTTCTTCTGTGGGGTGTCACGGCAGCTCCAGATACACCCCAAAGCAACCGATTTATTCGCCCCGCTGTTTATCTCATTTATCACAATTAATTAATTAACTAATTAATTAATTAATTAATTAATTAATTTATTTGTTTGCTTGTATTTGATTCATTGTCTTCCTTTTTCGGTTTCTTTCGCGTTCGATTTTCTGGGGAGCCGCCGAGGGGTCACTTCGAGATGCACTTACAAACAAAGAGGCAATCAAAAAAAAATAAATAAATGAATAAATAAATAAATAAATAATAAAATAAATAAATAAATGATAAAATAAATGGATAAATAATATTCAGTTAAAGTAATTTCATTAAAACAACGCCTTTTCTTTCCCTGTTCCTTCATCGCCTGCGGCCCCATAGCCTTCTGCTGCTGCAGCCAGCAGCAGCTGCAGCAGCTAACAGCAAGTAGCAGCAGCCAGCAGCAGATAGCAGCAGCTAGCTGCAGCAGCTAGCTGGGGCTAGCCAGAATTGGCCTTAGCTAGCTGCAGCTAGCTAGCTGTAGCTGGCGTGGCTGTGGCGGTAGATAACAAAACGGCTGTAGACTCTAAAGCCTAAACCCTAAACCCTAAACCCTAAACCCGAAGCAGCGGAGAGCTGAAGGGGCCTATTGAGTGTTGATGGAAGCAAAACAATTTAAATCTTTTTTCTTTTTTGTTTATTTATTTATTAATTTTTTAAACACCCTTTTGTCTGTTTAGCTGCAGCAGCCGACTTCCCCCCAAGTACTGCTGCAGCAGCGCCCTGCCGTCAGCAGCAGCAGCAGCAGGAACAGCAGCAGCAACAGGAACAGCAGCAGCAGCAACAGCAGCCTTGGCTGCCCAGCTGTGTGCCAGCGGCTGCAGCAGCTGCTGCTGCTGCTCGGAAATGGGGCCCCGGTACTTCTGCAGCCTTTCCTGCAGCTGCTTCTGCTGCTGCTGCTGCTGCTGCTGCAGTCGCTGCTGGCGCTGCTGCAGCAGCAGCAGCAAAGGGTTGCTGTCGCGCAGCTGCGTGGCTTTACGCAGCTCCGGTCCATCAACTGCTGCTGCTGCTGCTGCTGCTGCTTTAATATTTTCTTTTTTAATATTTTTATTTAAATTTTCCTTTATATTTTTATCTAAAGTTTCATTATTGATATTTTTATTTATATTTTCTTTACTTAATTGCATTTTAATTTCTGCTTCCTTTTCGACTCGCTGGGCGTCCGCGTAAAGCCTCTTCCACCACGGTACCTTGCTGCTGCTGCTGCTGCTGCTGCTGCTGCTGCTGCTGCTGTTGCGGGCGGGGTTGATGGCGGGCCTGAAGGTGCATTCTGCTGCTTCTTTTGCTGCAGCAATTTCTTTTTGCTGCCCCCCAAAGAAAAGAACTTCAATTTGCTTTTTTGTTTTCATTAAAGTCGAAGGAGATAAAACTCCTCTGCGAACTTCTTCTCGAAAAAGTGCTGCTGTCTTCAGCCGAAGACTGTGCTCGCTTATGCCCCTGCTGCTGCTGCTGCTGCTGCTGCTGCTGTTGCTGCTGCTGCTGCTACTGCTGTTGATGGGTTTGTTGGTGATGGATGGGGAGCTGGAAACAACAGGAAGCAGCGAGTGTTGCTGCTGCTGCTGCTGCTGTTGTTGTTGTTGTTGTCGCTGCTGCTGCAGCAGCAATAACTCTTCCTGCAGCAGCCGCTGTTGCTGCTGCTGCCAATGTGTCTTTCGTAAATGTTTTTGCTGCAGCAGCCGCAGCTGCCTCTCGAACTTATCCTCAAAAGAAAGCCGCCGCCGTTCCTGCTGTTGTTGCTGCTGCTGCTGCTGCTGGCTCTCTACTCCAGCAATACTGACAGTGGGACTCCTTGCTGCTGCTGCTGCTGCTGCTGCTGCAGTTAGGGACTGAGACAAATAGAGGGGCCCCTTGCCGCTCCAGCGGTAAGCTCCTTTACTTTCGCTGATGCTGCTGTTGCTGCTGCTACTGCTGCTGCAGCTGCTGCTGCTGATGCTGCTGCTGCTGCTACTAATGCTGCTGCTGCTGCGGCTGCTGCTGCTGCTGAGGAACTGTGCTGCAGGCGGCAGCAAGCTCAAGGAGGGCGAGGCAGCAGCCTTTAGTTTGTCTCCTTTGGGTTTCTTGCAGCTGCGGTCCATTAGCTGCTGCTGCTGCTGCTGCCGCTGCTGCTGTTGCTGCTGCTGCCGCAGCAGCAGCTGCTGCTGCTGCTGATATGCCTCTAGCGTTGCTGCAGCGCGGCTTAAGGCAGCAGCAGCAAACACTGCAGCACGCCGAAGGGCTTCCTTCTCCTTTTCCTTTTTTGTTTCACTTTTTTCTTTTTCTTTTTCTTTTTCTTTTTCTTTTTCTTTTTCCTTCCCTTTTTCCTTTTCCTTCCCTTTTTCTTTTTCTTTTTTTGTTTCTTTATTTATTTTAATATTTATTTCTGCATGCGCTTCTTTGTCCATTCTCTTGCTTTGGCTTCGAGGCGAGCGGAACACAAAAGAAGTTGCTGTTGCTGCTGCTGCTGCTGCTGCTGTTGCTGCTGTTGCTGCTGTTGTCTCTTCATCCTCTGCATCTGCTGCTGCAGCTAACTCCTCGTCCGTTGCTGCTGCTGCTTCTTCATCTTCATCGTCGTCCGCTGCTGCTGCTGCGTCTTCTGTTGCTGTCTGTTCTGTTGCTGCTGCTGCGCTTGCTGCTGCTGCTGCTGCTGCTGCTTCTGGGCAGCAATTGCTGGTGCTGGCCTCCCTGAACAAGGTTCTCTTGAGCATCTTCTTTGAAAACTTCAAGTTAAATGAAAGAAATTCCCTTTCTGCTTTTTGTGTTGTTGGCTTGCTGCTTCGCGTTTCGGGTGTACGTACAGACAGCTGGCGCCGGTGCTGGCCGATCCTTTCCAGTTCAGAGCTCCTTTTGTTTCATTTTTTCTTCTTTTTTGTTTATTTATTTCAATTTGCAATTTTTTATAATTTAATTGAATTATTTGATTCAATTAGCCGGTTTTTGCCCGCGATCGGCAGTCCCGGAGCCGCTGTCTTGAGAAGCGCAGCGGCTAGCGCCTCAGCAGCAGCAGAAAAGGAAGGCGATGAGATGAAGAAATAAATCAAATAGTAAAACAAATTAAATAAGTTGAATAATTAAAAACAAAGAAATTCACCTTTAAATCAACGAGAGGTCCAGCAGGGCCTGCTGCAATCGGCAGGTCACCATTGGTCCTCTGGACCCCAAACCCTAAACCCTAAACCCTAAACCCTAAACCCTAGCGGCCCCAAACCCTAAACCCTAAACCCTTGTTTCTGGCTCGCCAGGGCCGCGTTTTTCTGCGGCCTGGCGCCTGGGGGTGGTTCAGCTGCAAACCCTAAACCCTAAACCCTGGCGCTGCGTCCTAAACCCTAAAACCCTAAACCCTAAACCCTAATTGTGTTTTTGCTGCAGTCAGAAGCCTGCAGCTCTGTTCTTTTTTCTTCTCTTGTCAATGGCCTCAGCCAGCCTCTCGCGGCTAAACTCAGTGAGACAAACCCTAAACCCTAAACCCTAAACCCTAAACCCTAAATCCTCGCAAACCCCTAATAAGCCCCGAAACTCTAGCTCCCGATAAACCCTAGGCCCAAAACCCTAATTCCCCACAAAACCTTAAGCCTAGTCTTGATAAACCCTAAACCCGAAACCCTAGCTCCTGGTATCCTTTAAACCCTAAACCCTAAACACTAAACCCTAGTTTATCAGACCCTCTTTAAGCAGCCAGCTGCACTCAGCTGCTTCTCAGCAAAACTCCTCACCTCCTGATCCCTCAAACATCCAGATCTTCGGGTTTAGGGTTTCGGGTTTAGGGTGTAGGGTCTAGGGTTAAGGGTTTAGGGTTTAGGGTTTAGGGTTTAGGGTTTAGGGTTTCTGCAGGCGAAGTTGCTGGGCGTCCCGTTTTGCTTTCCGTCTCTGTCGATATTCCCTCCGAGTTTTTCCTCAAAGTCCAAACCGCCCTAACCAAAGCCATTTTAACCATTAAGCAGCAGCAGCAGCAGCAGCAGCAGCAGCAGCAGCAGCAGCAGCAGCAGCAAGATCAGCAGCAGCAGCAGCAGATTGTGACCCAGGAGAGCTAAGCAGCTTCCCTAAACCCTCTACTCCACACTGTGCCTCTGGGAGCCCCCAGGGGGCCCCCTGGGGGCCCCTGGGAGACCCCCAAGGGGGCCCCCTTGGGGGCCCCAGGGGGCCCCTGGGGGGCCCCTGGGGGGCCCCTGGGGGCCCCTAGGGGCCCCCAGGGTACGGAGTGTGGGGCCCCCAAGTTCTTTTATTCGGCTGGGGGCCCCTTTGGGGCCCCTTAAAGGCCCCTGGCTTTTTAAAAGAAATGAATTATTCGAAAGAACTGTTTAATAAATAAATAATAGAATAAATAAATAAATAAATAAATAAATAAATAAATGGAATATATAAACAAACTAAATAAATAAGTTGAAAAGGACTCGGAAACTCTATTGGTTCTTTAGATGTTGTAGGCACTGCGTCTTAACGTCCATACCCTAGACCCTAAACCCTAGTCGAAACCCTAAACCCTAAACCCTAAACCCTAAACCCTAAACCCTAGTTGGTCCTCGAGTCTACGGCACGCCGCGCGCATTGTCTGCAGGATTGTTCTCCGCTTGCGTCTGTCAAAAAAGAGCCCCTCTCCCGAGGGTTTAGGGTTTAGGGTTTAGGGTTTAGGGTTTAGGGGGGGCTTTGGGGAGCTAGGAAGCTCAGCAGCCGCGCCACAGCGGGGGTTTGCTGCTGCTGCTGCTGCTTAAAAACATTTATTCGAATTCCTTCGATGCAGCTTTTAAAAAAAGGATCTCTTTTTATAATGCAATTGTATTTCCTCTCCACAACTTCAAAAGCCCCAAACTTCAAACTCTCAGGATTGCATGCAACAGCCAGCAGATACGCCAGCTGCAGGGGGGCCCCTGGGGGCCCCCTGGGGGCCCCCCCGGGGGCCCCAGGGGGGGGCCCCCCGGGGGGCCCCCCC